AACAAATAAAATCTTGTAATTTCTATGCTAACAGTTTCTTTTCTGGCACTTCTACCTTGTGGAACTCTCTACCTGCTCCTTGCTTGATTTGTAGATTAAAGCTTTACTCTGGAAAACAATATATGCATTTATTCTCTATCTACTGTCCTCCTGATTATCCTCCTAATGTTCCCGCTCTTTGAGTTAAGAAAAAGAATTTATTTTTGCCAAAAGAGATCTTTATAATTATAGAAACAACAAAATGCCACTGTTTGGAGCTGTTAATTAAGAAGACCCCGAAATGCGATTTGAAAGTTGGAAACACTAGAATCAAACAGACGCAGAATTTAAATATCTGGGAAGCGTCTTGACAGAGGACGGTAAGTTTGACACTGAGTTCTGTAGATGTAATGAGATGGCCAAGAGCACATTCTAAAAGCTGGGCAGTGTATTGCAAGACCGAAGGATTTCTTTGGTAACGAAGAAAAGAATACTGTGCTGTTAGGGGGTATCTGTTCTTCTTTACGGCAGCGAATGTTGGACGGTCTCCTCAAAAATGAAGAAGAGACTCGAGACGACAGAGATGTGGTTCTACAGAAGGATGATAAGGATATAATAATAATAATAATAATAATAATAATAATAATAAACATATCATAATAATAATAAAAATAACAAAGAAAAGAATACCGAGCTGTTACGTGACATCTGTTCTTCTTTACGGCAGCGGATGTTGGACGATTTCCTCAAAGATGAAGAAGAGACTCTAGGTGACAGAGATGTGGTTCTACAGAAGGATGCTGAGAATATCATGGACAGAGCATGTGAGCAACGATGAGATCGTAATGTTGCAAACAAGGCTTATACTTAACATCAGGAAGAGGCAGCTGATATTTCTGGGACACATAATGAGGAAGGAGGGTTTGGAAAATCTGATACTCACGGGTCGAATAGAGGGAAAGAGAGACAAGGGAAAGTAGCGTGTGACATACCTGACGAGCTTGAGCAACTTGGTGACAGAACGTGCTCTGTGGCGGGAAGCAGAGGGAAAGAGCTTGCTGAGAGCTGCAAGGGATAGAAGGAGGTGGAGAGCCATGATCGCCTACGCCCTGAAAAGACATGTCACATCAAAAGAAAAAGAAGAAATACTGTTGCTACATTTGGGTTGATTCATATCTTCAATTCTCATTGGGAATATTTCCCATTCTTCTTAGCCCATCCTGGGTATGACGATAAACTACATCCGCGTCCTGGGTAAGACGATAAACTACATCCGAGTCCTGGGTAAGACGATAAACTACGTCCAACACCAACGTCTATGATCAGGAGGTTTTGAGGATCATGGAACCACCTCTTAATTTCTGGTGTTCTCAGGTCAACACTGACCCGGGGTGCTGGCACCTGTTTGGGTCCCAGCTATGGTCAAATAGTTAAACCCCAAACTGGGTTCAAAAAACTATGAAAGTGTAAAAATAGATTTTAATGCGAGAAATACATTTTGTAAAAAAAAATATTGCCAGCAATACATTTTTGACGAAAAAAATATTACCAAAAATTGATTTATGAAGGAAAAAATATCACCAGCAACAAAAATTTTGTCGGTATTAAATAACCCATCGAGGTTGATATGCCGTAAAAAAACCCAAACCAAACCAAACTATTACCATGAATCTATTTCAAAATTTTGTTGGCATTCAATGACCCACTGAGGTCGATATGCCATAAACCAAATCAAACCATTCTTCTTGGCAGTAATCCCAAAGCTCTTCCACATTACATGGTTTCCATTGGAGCACGTTTTTCATCAGTTCTTACCACAAGGTTTCAATTATATTGAAATCAGGACTTTATTGTGGCCAATCTTCTAAAAGTTGAACAGCTCCCTCCAGCAGAAATATTTTTTGTTGCATGTGAAGTTGTGTAAGGGGTACATTCATGCTGTAAAACGTACCCTTCTTCAAAGTCTGGCAGAGGCTTGTACGCTATTAAGCTGATATAGTCTTTGCTCTTCAGGTTTCCATCAATTTTTTTTACCAGTATTATCCTACCTTCACTTTTGATGCAAATAAATTTCAATACGTTTATACCAATGATTCCAAACGTGGGGTGCATACCCCAGCGGAGGGGCACGGTAATATTTTGGTGGGGCATGTGTAGGATGTGCACTCTTGGGCTTATTATACCAACAGAATAAGGGGTCAATTCGAGAATGAGTTATTAACAGTGAATTGTTTTCTAGTCAGTCTGCGTGAGAGTGTTAATGCATGTTAATTCATACGATGCATATACAGTATGCATACATAGAAATATTACGTGTACGTATGTACATACATGTGTAATTGGCATAAAGGGTATTTCCCGTCTCCCCACACTCGCGTGTCTCGGTCAACAAAGGAGAGCTCGTGATGCATGTCCCTGGAAGAGCCCATTTTTTGTCGGCCAGTCAGAGCGTGAGGAGAGGGCGTGATGCATGTCGTTGAAGAGCCCATTTTTTTTGTCGGCCAGTCAGAGCGTGAGGAGAGGGCGTGATGCATTTTTGCCGATTTTTTTAAATCAATCAGAGCTTGAGGAGAGGGCGTGATGCATGTCGCTGGAAGAGCCGATTTTTGTCGGCCAATCAGCGCGTGTGAGCATTTAGTTTCCTTCCTTTACTTGAATTGAAGTAAAACTTTGAATATGTAAGAATTAAATATTACGGGGGCTGGGAGCACCAGAATTTTAGAAATATCAAGGTGGGGCATGGACCAAAATCGATTGGGAACCATTGGTTTATACCATCAAATTTTACCGTCTTTGTGTTGAGCTTTGTATTCTTTCTTTTCTCTCTCCTGTATTTTTACATAACCTCTTGCATTAGAATGTAACTCTATGTTGCATTCAGCAATCAAAATTACAACGTTCCATCATCCCATGTTAGATGTCCTTTAGACAGCGTCAATATTCTATTCTTTTTAGTTAATGGTGTTTTATTTCTTTTTCCTATACGTCCGCTCAATTTGTTTTTGCGTAGTAAATGCAAACTGAATGAACTGATACCTTACTGCTTAGATTGCATTCATTCCTCACTTAATTTTAGATTGCCTACCGAGTCTCTGACAATATTTTTTCGTCTCTCTTGTTTAACATTACTTTGTCTTCTCGTTTTCTGTGCACTTAAAATACTTCCAGTGGTATCAGAAATCATTTAGATGGTTTGAACACTGTTTCCGGTAATTCCTAGCCGCCTGACTATGTTCGTTTCCTTGCAAAGTCACAAACTGCATCTAAATTTTAGCGATGATGTTAGTGTAATAAACCAAGGTAATGTTAATTTACAATGACTTGACAAACCATGTTAATAAGATGAGTCAACCATTTTGAAATGGATTGAAATTTAAATGAATTGTCATACATGTTAATAAAATGGGACATGACTCACTTAGAAAATTGCATATTACCATGACTTTATACTCATAGACCTTTCATTGGCTCAATAGTTGTGTAAGGTCTTTTCTCAGTTTCATGATAATAAAGCGGTGTATCTTGTTTTGAATAAGACAAGAAATATATATATATATATATATATATATATATATATTATAAATTAATTGATTTAAAATATGTTTTTTTTTTTTTTTCCAGTTCCAAATATGTTTCAAAAATAGAAGCTAAAAAACCCCGAATTTAATTTTTGCAATTAGTTCCAGTTGGAACTGTGTTTTTTAAAAAAATATTTTAAATCAATTAATTTATAATATTAATGCTCTGTAAATTTACATTGAGAACTATTTTGTAAAAATAAAATATCTATAAGAACACCGGATTTTATATCTTACTGTTCTTTCTTTTTCAGATTTTTATATATATATATATATATATATATATATATATATATATATATATATATATATATATATATATGTGCAGGTATGCAGAAAATAGAAAAGAACACGTTGGTGCATAATCCGGAGTTCCTTAGTATTTTTGTTTTTATTTTTAAGAAGACAGTGCTCTATACAGAAGTAGAGCTTTATTATAATAATATTTTTTGATTAAAAATATGATTCTTTCGATACATAAGAGCTCTCATGTTTCAAAAACGAGAGCTGAAACCATCCAAATAATTAATAAAATTAAGTTGAATTGTGGTGTTTAGTCCCGTTTCATCTTCAAGCGAAATTTTAGGAATAAGCTATCTCTCGGTTTACGTGTATTTAAAATAGTCTAGCCACTCCCACAATAACGAATTCTGTAACGGACCATGCCTAAAAATACACGTAAACCACGCGCAGCCCAATAAACAAGCAAAAAATAGATTATTTATTTATTTATTTTTTTAATTGTAAAAATATTCCCAACCTAACACGTACCAAAAAATTAATAGAAAAAAAAAGAAGAAAAAAAAAAAAAAAAAAACTTTTACTTAAAATCAATAATTTCAAAAGAATGCCAAATATCTTTGATTTAAAATTCATAATTTCTTGGGGAAATTAATATTTGCGATGACATTAATTAGGGTAAATTCACAGAAAAGATCCAGATAATTAATGTCTACTGACTTGGCCATACGATTGTCTTAATAAAAAACATAATCTTGATTTTAGATATGTCTAACACATTACGTCTCTCTTAGAATGCGTATGAAACACCTTTATGCTTTTAATTTTATGAGCAGTATATACCATTTTTTTTCTAAATCTCCAAACATCCATAAAAATAAAAAATCAAATATAAAACAAACAAAAAAAATCAAATCAAATCAATGGTTTCAAACAAGTTGTCCCTTGCGGTTAAATATTTGAAAGAATTAGCTGGTCAAAAAAAAAAAAAAATATTGACAAAATATCACGGCTTACAGCGGTTAAAATCCTTTTAAATAGATTTATCGCCACAAGCCAATTCCGATCAGGGGTTATTTCATGGTAAAGAAAACTGTCTTTTGTTTTGCAGAAGTTATTTGATTCTTACCAATAAAGACTTCACTTTTATTCTAATTTTCTAAATTTTGTCGCTTTTGTTCTAATTTCAATTGTCAGCTAAAGGCAAAGCATTGATCACTTGAAAAAAAATCTGTCTGTCTGTCTATCTATCTATCTATCTATCTATTCATCTATCTATCTATCTATCTATCTATCTATCTATCTCAGTCTATTTCTATCTATCTATTTATTCATTATCTATCCCTATTTTATCTATCCCAATTCTGTTTTTAACTATCTATCTCAGTATCTTTCTTCATCTATCTATCTATCTATCTTTCTTCTATCTATCTATCTATCTATCTCATCTATTTTTCATGTATCTTATCTATCTATCTCATATGTTCCTATCTATCTATCTATTATCTATCTATCTATCTATCTATCTCTATCTCAGTCTGTCTGTCCTTTCTATCTCCTTCTGTCCATATCTATCTATCTATCTATATATCTATTTATCTATCTATCTATCTATCTATTTATATCTCTCTTTTCTATCTCCATATCTATCTATCTATCTATCTATCTATCTATCTATCTCTATCTATTGTATCTATCTATCTCATCTCTCTATCTATCCTATCTATCTATCTATCAGAATAATTTATCCATCTATCTATCTGTCAGTCTTTTTCCATCATCTATCTATCTCAGTCTGTTTCTATCTATCTATCTTAGTCTGTTCCTATCTATCTATCTATCTATCTATCTATCTATCTATCTATCTATCTATCTATCTATCTCTTTCTGTTCCTAACTATCTATCTCAGTCTGTTCCTATCTATCTATCTATCTATCTATCTAATTCTGTCCATACCTATCTAGCTAACAGGAAGGATACATCGAGTAATCTATCAGGTTTGTGTGGATGGATGCGTGTAAAGGGACTGGGTCAAATAGGAAGAGAGAAAAAAAAAGTTGATTGGACTTACAAATAAAAGGAAACTGAGGAAAACCGCGATCGCCGACCCTGTGAAGCGATCCCGGGGATAAAAGTAGAATACGCTCTGATAGCAAGTTGGGGGAAAGCGCAAGGTGTCAGGCTCGTCTTGCAAAGTATTAGCTAGTCTTTAGACATTAGGGCATCGAGTATTTTTATTGTACCCTGTTAAACCAATTTTCATTTTCCCATAGAATGTTCTCTTAGGCAAAAGATAACCTCCATTTGTTACGAGATTCCTTGTCATCTGTAGCCAATGTTTCTGGTCTCAATGCCTTTCAATTATGATGCTAACAATTCGTAAAGAGTTTTCCTTAACTTAAAAAAAAAAACAGCCTCTCTTCACTTACTGACTTACACATTTAAAGACCACTCATAATTACGACATGTCATACGAACCCCCACCGGTAATATAGGATATGATACTGTAGGAATATTAACGATATTGACGGCCTAAATCAACACGTACATTTTTTTTTTACTTTACGATTGTGTAAGCAAACGCAAAAGCAACAAGAGAAAAAACAAAAAGGAAAACAAAAAACATTTTATAACAAGATTGATACCTGTCTATATTTCTGAGATGAGGTATTATGTACAATATTTACATTATTCGGACTATTGTTCTCATCTTTATCACCATATTTATTACAACGTTTCGGCTTTCAGTATCTGTCTATATTTCTGAGATGAGGTATTATGTACAATATTTACATTATTCGGACTATTGTTCTCATCTTTATCACCATATTTATTACAACGTTTCGGCTTTCAGTATCTGTCTATATTTCTGAGATGAGGTATTATGTACATTATTTACATTATACGGACGATTGTCCTCATCTTTGTCGCCATATTTATTACAACGTTTCGGCCTTCAGTATCTGTCTATATTTCTGAGATGAGGTATTATGGACACTATTTACATTATTCGGACTATTATTCTCATCTTTGTCACCATATTTATTACAACGTTTTGGTCCTTCAGTATCTGTCTATATTTCTGAGATATGGTATTATGTACATTATTTACATTATACGGACGATTGTCCTCATCTTTGTCGCCATATTTATTACACAGTTTCGGCCTTTCAGTATGTGTCTATATTCCTGCGATGAGGTATTATGTACACTATTTACATTATTCGGACTATTGTCCTCATCTTTGTCGCCATATTTATTACAACGTTTTGGCCTTTCAGTATCTGTCTATATTTCTGAGATGAGGTATTATGTACACTATTTACATTATTCGGATTATTGTCTTCATCTTTCTCGCCATATTTATTACAACGTTTCGGCCTTTCAGTATCTGTCTATATTTCTGAGATGAGAACCTTTTATTTCGCTCACTAGAGTAGACTGTTCTTGTTCCACCCGTCATGTTTAATGGATATCAGTTATCTCCTGCTAATTTCCCTCTGAAAGTTCTCCACTGCCTTAACCGGGTATTGAACTCACACTCTTTGGGTCCTGTCACCGGATCTAACCAACGCCTTTATCCACTGTGCCATGAGGACATCTGTGTATGAATTTCTGGGTATTATAAACCTAATGTCTTTAGCAAAGTTTTTTTTACCAGTGTTCATAGTGAATTTTTGCTGTTATCATTTCATGTTTTTACCAGAGTTCATATTGCAATTTTTATTGTTATTATCACTTTTCTTTGGCACTCGTTATTACTTGTTCTCATATTGTATTCATTTCTATGCTTGGTCGGCTCAGGAGATTTTTGTGGTCCTCAGCCGACCAAGCATAGAGCGAAATAAAAGGTTCAGTTCGACATTCCAACCACCTGGAGAAGGCCGGAGCGTACAACGGCCGAAACGTTGTAATTAATATGGCGACAAAGATGAAGACAATAATTCGAATAATGTAAATAGTATACATAATACCTTCTCTCAGAAATATAGACAGATATTATTAATTATTTTATTAAGTTTTTCTTATTTGTTAAAAAATTCTAACTTTTGATTAAAAAACCTTGTTTATCTTTGCGTCAGAGAGATTACTAAAATAACATAGCAAATTTTAGCACATTTCTTTCGTATGGACAGGCACTAATTTTGAAAAAAATAAAAATAATACCCTCAAATTTCATAAATGTACATAGAATTATACTATTATGTATAATTCTTATGAAATTTTATTTCACACAGGAGTTATATTTTCCAGAAAGTATGAACAATGGTAAGGTGAAAGCTGAAGTAATAAAAAAAAGATAAAAAAATATTAGACTGTTGAAAGATTTTTTACTTTAAAAATTACGAGTTAAATAAGCTGGTTCACTTAAAAGTAGAAAAGATTATGTCATTTCTGTCCTTCCGTACGATAATTCCCCCCTCACGTTAGTTGTCAATACGTGATGAAGCTGTTACTCGTTACTAGTCAGTCGTTAAGAAAGGAAGTAATATTTGTATCAAAATATATGGTGGTGCCACATTATCGAACGCTGTTGGATATCCTTGATATCAGGAAAATGTGAAATATCAGTGTATAACTCCTCACTTATTGACCAATTCGTCTAACGAGCTGATCATTGGAATGGAACCTGGTCGTTAAGTGAAGAGAGGCTGTACCCTTTCCAGGCTTAACAAGGTAAGACATATCGTATGTTAAGTTTGCTAAAAATTTATTTAAAAAAAAAATCAATTCACCCCAAACAAAGACATAATACTATTAAAGATTATTCATCAAAATTTTATACAAGATTCAATATTACCGCTCAAGTTCTTTAAACCGGCACTCTCTTATCCGGATTTTTTTTTTTAATCATCCGCCATTAGCTCGTTGACCGACTACGAGGACAGCGCCGCGCGTTATTTACAACTTTTTCGCAGCAAAACGGTGTTTCGACGCTATATGGCCGTAAGTCGTCAGTGAAACAGAAAATCGGAAGTTGGATAAATATAGGGATATCAACAAAGAGATTAAATGAATTCTCAAATATGAAGGTGGCATTTGAACCGGTTCTAAATAATCCTTGGGAAATGATTTGAAGAATTAAAGATTAGAATAGGAAAGAGCATTATGGGAATCGGTAAATTATTGATGATAAGGTTAGGGTTAAGGAATATGTGGAAAGGAAGAAACAAAGAAAGCAAGAAATAAAGTAAGAAAGAAAGAAATAAAGCAAGAAAGAAAGGAAGAAATAAAGAATGAGAGAGAAAAAGATAGATTGAAAATAAAATAAAATAAAAGAAAGAAATGGAAAAAAGAAAGAAGAAGACAAAGCGGCAGATGATTACGTAAAGGGGGTTTAGTGGGAAAGTGACGAAGCCGAAGGATTAATAGAATACTACACGAAGGAGGAGGAGGAGGAGGCGGGTAGGAGAGAGAAGGAGGAGGTAGAAGAAGAAGAAGAAGAAGAAACTTAAAAAAAAAAAAATTGATCGATAATAAATCACAATATTTCAATCAGAAAAGGAATGAATATATATTGTATAAGAAGGATGAGGAGGAGGGGACGAGAAAGGAGGAGGATGTGGAAGAAGAAGAAGAAGGGGAGGAGAAAGAAGAAGAAGAAGAAGAAGAAGAAGAAGAAGTAGGAGGAGGAGGTGTCACAAGAAAAGACAAGACGAACGGGAGGGAAAACTAGGAGGAGGCTGAAGAAGAAGAAGAAGAAGAAGAAGAAGAAGAAGAAGAAGAAGAAGAAGAAGAAGAAGAAAGGAGGAGGAGGAGGAGAAGGTGTCACAAGTAAAGACGAACGGGAGGGAAAAGTAGGAGGAGTCGGAAGAAGAAGGAGAAGAAGAAACTTTAAAAAAAGAAAAGAAATTGATCGATAATAAATCAAAGTATTTCAATCAGAAAAAGGAATGAATATATAGAAGAAGGATGAGGAAGAGGGGACGAGAAAAAGAGGAGGAAGAAAGAAAAGAAGAAGAAGAAGAAGGGAGGAAAGAAAAAAGAAGAAGAAGAAGAAGAAGAAGAAGAAGAAGAAGAAGAAGAAAAGTAAGAAAGAGGAGGTGTCACAAGAAAAGACAAGACGAAAAGAGGGAAAAACTAGGAGGAGGCTGAAGAAGAAGAAGAAGAAGAAGAAGAAGAAGAAAAAGGAGGAGGAGGAGAAGAAGAAAAAAAAAGACGAACGGAGGGAAAAAGTAGGAGGAGTTCGGAAGAAGAAGGAGAAGAAGAAACTTTAAAAAAAGAAAAGAAATTGATCGATAATAAATCAAAGTATTTCAATCAGAAAAGGAATGAATATATATTGTATAAGAAGGATGAGGAAGAGGGGACGAGAAAGGAGGAGGAGGTGGAAGAAGAAGAGGAAGGGGAGGAGAAAGAAGGAGGAGGTAGAAGAAGGAAGAGAAAGGAGGAGGGGATGAAAGAAAAAGAAGAAGAAGAAGAAGGGGAGGAGAAAGAAGAAGAAGAAGAAGAAGAAGAAGAAGAAGAAAAAAAAAAAAGGAATGAATATATATTGTAATAAGAAAAGAAGAGGAGAGGGCTGTGAACTGGGAAAGGTAGAAAGAATAAAGACAGTTCAAGTAATCATGAAATAGAGAGAGAGCGTGAGAGAGAGAGAGAGAGAGAGAGAGAAGGAGAACGTCATAAAGAGAAAAAGCAAATAATTAAAGAGAGGGATTAATTGTGAAAGACGCGCATATTTAAACGACTTTCAATGATGTTCGGAGATTGAAATATTTTAGTTACTAAATCGTTAAGATGATCAGAATTTCCTTAAAGATTGATCCGATTCTTTAAATGACCTACGTCTTCCTTGATGAGGATTTTCCAAAGATCTCTTCCCGCTTCGCTCGAGGCAGATGGTTGGCTGAGCCAGGCCGATTAATATTTCAACAGATGAAATTAATACCGAACAA